GTTCTGTTGCTATAGTCTCCTGAGATTATTTTGAAAGCTCACTTACAGAACTCACTTAAACAGCTTAGAAAAGACAAGCACACACATTTGAAGAAATATTCAATACATTTTCCTATTTGAAAGATTTTAAAAATTAAGATGAACAAGGAAACAAGAAAAAATACAAGTCCAGCAGATAGCAAAGATCCAGGAGATCAAAGTAAGTAAACAAATACATCAATCTGTGTAAAATCCCCCAAATAACAGAATCTACATTTCTAAAAATGTTGACACTGTGTATAAAATGAATCATTTGAATCCTGTGTTTGAGTGAAAATAGCAGAAATACAACATGTCTGATCAAAGAAAGAAAGACCAACAAGTGTCATGAAGATCTAAGACTTAGTAGACCTAGTATGGACTGGTGTTGCTCTGCTTTTATCAAATGGATAAACTTGTTATTAGAATTTAACCAATCCTCATTAAAATGCCATCAAAATCCTTCCAGTCCTGATGTCGAGCACTCTTTTTTACTACTGTGTTGTTCTTGTTGTTTACGTAAGTAGCAAGCAGCTTGGCTTTTATACTCAGGTGAAGAGCAAAATGAACATTTAGGCTACAGCAGAGAGTCATTTGTGTCGCAGCTGTAGTAAAACAACATGTGTGTTTGTCTTTTCAGCTGAATTCCAGGCCAGATACGTGCAGGAGCACCATCTTGGAGGAGGCGGCTGTGGAGCAGTGTTTGCTGGCTACCGGATAACAGATCGTTGCCCAGTAAGTGTTCAGATGGTGGGAGTAAGACAGGCAGTAACGCAGATAATGGATAATATCGTAAGCTGAGACGTGTGCTGTTTCACACCTTTAGTGATGTCATACGGAGGAAATGCTCACCAATGCTCTGTGTCTTTTAGGTAGCCATCAAACACATCCCAAAGGACAGAATCCCCATCAAAGTGACGGTAAGTGTGCAACACTTGAACTGTTTTTACATTCCTGGACTGAGTGCAGCGTTCACCTGTGGAACGTCT